AAGGGTGTTTTTTTTTTTTAAAATTTGTTTACATACTCTTTCAACTCCTTAGTGATGAAGTCATTATGGCTCATCCAGAATAGATTTAAGGTATTAAATCTTAATGCTTTGTATATTTTAAGTTTTGAAACAAAAAAAAAAGACTAAATACATTTTTGTTTTATACATCCTCTTATTAAACAACACAAAATGTTTGCAATTTTTAAAAAATTGTAGTATGATAAATTAGTTACTCTGTTTATAATTGAGCATGATTGTAAAATGTTGTATCTTTATGTTGTTGATATATGGATATTATTTTCTTTCAATGTTGCCTGATTACCTATTGGAATGACTGTTGTTTATTGTCATTTGTTTATTGCATGTATTTGTTTCTTTTGCTCTGTCTATTTGACAATGTCAGGAGAAAAACCTGCAACTGGAGCAGGTCCAACAAGAACAGAAGGTTCTGGAAGAAAGTATGCAGCAAAATTCTGAAACTGCTTTATCTGAGCTAGAAAAATCCACTACAAAATGTGAAAATTTAGAAAAATCCCAACAGGTTTGTGGTTCTCTCACAAACTTTTGCTTCTTAACAATCAAGGCATCATTAAAGTATCTATTTTTCACAAAGTATTTGGAGCTACTTTTGTTTTTAGCCTTTATGCATTTATAATATTTCCTCAATTTTTTTTCTTTAATCCTGTTCAATCATGTGCTACAAAAATGCTTACGGTCTTGCCTTATTAAAAGTAAATTTGCTTAGGTAAATTTCAATGAGTATAGAATACAAAAGGCAAATGGAATTGAATTATTTTCAGATATTTGCATCTGCTTTTGTTAGAGATAAAATTTTGTATGTTTCTTGCATGTCCTTTTTCAAAAACATAGTAAAATATACTTCTCTCAAAAATGTTTGACCTTTTATAGTATTCATATGAGAATTTTGTTTAATAACTAGAGTATTATAAATGCCCTAAAAGTTGGAAAAGCATTTTTATAATGTATGATATTGAACAGTAACTTATCACTAGCTTCATATTGTAGTTGATTATCATCTTGATTAACAATCAACTAAAATATAAAAAATTATATACTGAAGTGGTACAATTTGAGATAAATCAATATTTAATAAAGAAATATATAATTTTGTATATTTTTATATTTATAGAGAGAGTAACCAATATCGGAGATGAAGAGTTTGTAAATATAAACAAGGTGGACATAAGAATCAACATTGTCTGGTGACTTTTGGTTTCATGCTTCATTTAAGCTAAGTCTAGTTTGAAGATCCTGATGAAATGTGAATCTGACTGTTACCATGCAGTATTGATTCCTATGTACATTCAATCTATATATCTATCATATATATGTATGTGTGTGTGTGTGTATGTGTTATGATAGACTGGAAAATTTCTTGTGATGCGTTTCATCCATTAGGATTCAATCAGACTGATATGTTGATGTTACCATGCCCCTAATGCAGGTAGTCAGAATTTTTTTTTGCCAAATTCATCTGTGTTCTTTTTCTCTCCATCACCACTTTTCCTGACTATCCCACAATGTGACAATATAAAGTCTACCAAGAATGGTTATATATTTTATTTGGATGCAAATTTACCATGGCTGAACTAGTGACCAAGGCACTTTACAGACATTTTCATCTGAATGGACTATTTTCTCTTTTACTCAAAGTAGCATTCCCTATGTCAAAATTGTGGTCTGTTCTGTTATAGCGGACAACCAATGCTTTTTTAACCTTTTACCTATTTAATTAAATAAAAAAAAAACATTCATTCCTCTCTTAGTTTCAAATTAACACTTCATTCTTCATGTAGGCCCAATTTAATTTCATAAGATTAATATTGGGATTTAATTTTTTAAAACCTCTTCCCTTTAAAACTAATACCTTCCACCATCCCCTGACCAGTCTCATGCTTTTTGTCTAACTGAAACACTAAAATGGATAAATTCTGTATTAGTTTTTTGACAGCTGTCATGGTTAAATCTCTAATTCTGCCATGATCTCCTTCCACATAAGACTGACAAAGTTTTACTATATCGGTTGAAATGTGTGTGTGTGTGTGTGTGTGTGTGTGTGTGTGTGTGTGTGTATATATATATATATATATATATATATATAGAGAGAGAGAGAGTAATGGTAATAAATCCATTGGAATATAATTTAAGTGTATCCTAGTAATATAAAAAAGTGTATTTATTATGCAGAGTAAATAAATAATAGTAAGCTATAACATCCAAGATTGCCTCATATGGTGTGTAGATCTATTTCAAAACCAACCAATACTTTATGAAGAATTTATCCATTTCAATGTTTCAGTCAGACAAAAGGCACGAGACAGTGGTCAGGAGAGGTTGGATTGTGTTGGCTTTAAAGGGAAGATGTTTTACAAAAATTATATATATATTTATTAAATATATATATATATATATATATATATATATATATTTTTATTTTGTATATATATGTATGTTTTGGATGTATATATATATGTATATATATGTATTTGTTTTATTTGTATATATATATATATATATATATATATATATGTATATTTTTTATTATGTATATATATATATATATATATATATGAATAATTTTATTTTGTATATATATGTATATATATTATATATGTATATTTTATTTTGCATATATATATATGTATATATATATATTATATGAATACATTTTTTTTTTTGTTTATATATATTTATATGTATATATATATATATAAATATTTTTATTTTGTATATATATATTTATAAATGTATATATATATGTTTTATTTTTTTTTTGTATTTATAAAATCACTTTATATTATATATGTTTATTTTACTTTGTATATATATATATATATGTATATGAAATTTTGTATATATATAATGTATAAATATATGTAATTATTTATTGTATATATATATATGTATATATATATATATATATATTTTATTTATGTATATATATATATATATATATTATATATCAAATATTATGCATGTGTTTCATTAAATAATATAGACAAGTGTTGTCTGTTTATTTTATGTAAATTTTTCATAACATCTGATAAGTTTAATAACATTATCGTTGAACTTTAAGAAAGAAATTCACAATATTGATCCATATTTTTTAATAATCTAAGCTTTTACTTTAAAAGTCATTATCAAAGATGTCAATGATCAATATATTAAACAATTTACGGACAAGGACCAGTGATGATAGTCTGTCAATGTTTACATAGATGATTTCTAAGCAACGATAAATTTGATATATTAGAAATTTTCATTGACTGCATCTCATGACATCACACATGACCACACGAGAGTGAATTGTAGAAGTATGAATATGGAAAGCCATTGGTATAAACCAATGGCTTTGTGTTACCAATTATAGACATTTAAGAATGCCATTTGTAGAGATGCCAGATTTATTGGTATTTTCGTGAGTGTCATGTTACCTTCCTCCAGTTGGTTTGATAATTAAGAAATATCCAGTTTAAATAGAAATGTCCTGTTTGTTGCTGTTAAGGTTGTTCAGTTTTATTTTTTATTTCAATTTGCCTTTTCACAAGGCTACATTTGTAATTCAAAGTATTGATAGTATTCTCAGCTGCCGGATCATGTAATTTAAATTGTGTGTATTTAGGCAGTTGTCCTCAGGGGAAATGTATGTATTCTTCAACATTCACACAGACATGACAGAATTGAATAGATACTCACAGAAACCATTTATTTTATTATTTCAAGTAATTTATACAAATGAAGTAATTATAAATGGTGAAATTTAGTAACTAATACTTGGTTGACATTTCTTTGCTTTTTTAATGCAAGGACCTTCCAGGCATGCTAGTGATGAGTTCATGAATATCATCTTGAGGGATTCCTTGCCATGTTTGAAATGCAATAATCCTAAAAGTTTGGGCTTAGAAGATGGCTTCCTGTTCTTTTTGCAGAGTTTTCAATCTAATATGCCCCAAAGGTTTTCAAGAGGGTTAATATCCGGGGACTGATTTAAATTCCATTTGGAAGTTTATTGATCCCATTTTTGTCTCAACCAATGCAGAGGTTGTTTGCTATCACAGATGTGACATGGAATCCATCTTCCATAAGTAGGGGAGTCAATTTTGCTCATTCTACTACTTAAGAATATTGGAAGGAGCCCTTTCTTTATTTATAGAAATATATTTGGTTGAATTAATGTTTCCTTCATACTCCACAAGCTCTGATGACGTCCAAATTGCAATACCATTACTGAAAGGCCCCATGTTTCTGAAAATTGTTATTGCAGTCTTTTTAAATCAAACTCTTGATTACAACCACGCATCCATACCCATACTCTTCCATTTTTAAAAATAATTTAAAATCTTGACTCATCAGGGAAAATGACAGTGATCCAAAGGTCACAGGTCTCATCCACCATCTCATGAGCCCAATCATCTTGCTTGATATTGGATGGACGGAGGTTTGGTTTCCTTCTCGAATTTTAAACCAGTAGGCCAGCTTGTGAAGATACCCGACAGTTGTTCTGGGACTGAGTTCAACTTGTGTTGTTATGTCAGAGGCCTTGCATGGGATCCTGTTCAACATTTCTTTATAACAAGACGCATGGTTCTTTCAAAGGGCCCAGGGTGGCTGATGAGATTTTGTGCACTTTGCCCTCATTGGTGAATTGCACGATCACCTATTATTAACAAAGTAAGAGGGTATTGAAAGAATTTCAGATATTTTTCCTTACTAAGACCACCTTCATGTTGGCCCATGATACGTCCTTGGAATTGATAGGTCTGATGCTCCTTTGGTTCATGGCATGTTCCAGTATTGTTATCTGCAATTTTAATCAAATAATCTAATTTATCTTGGTTAAGAAAAAAAATCAGAAATAAAATTTATCTTGGTGTCTATTCAATTCTGTCAATGTCTGTGTATGAGACAACAACCTTATCGGAGAAAAATATCAACCAGAAAAAGATACATAAGTATATATCCACTTGTAATTGGAACTAGTGTCTATACAACCATAGATGCTTTTACTGAAAATATCGAGACCTTAAAATCAAACTTCCTTATACAAACACTATGGAGAAGTTGGAAAAGGGGACAGTGAGCTTTCATTTCCAAATGTAGACATAAAAACGTATTAAAACATAAACACAGTTTTATAACGCGTTGTTACCTATAACAGTTCCATCTTGGATCACTAACATCGGACATGACATTTAAATGGAATGACGTTTATGATTATATATAACATTGTCTGTGTTTTTGATGCTCTATTTTTTTTGATCATTTAATTTGTGTTAGCAAACTTTATTCAAATATATTGTATGATGGTAAGTAAAAAAGTTTTCCTAAATAACTGATATACAAAATCTGATAGTTTTTATTTATTTTATACACCTAGGTATATATGTAGACTTAAGACATATATACGCGTTAACCACTCCGCTGGTTTTTAATATTGTTAACATTTTCTTCCTCAGTGTTTTTTAAGTACAAATTAGTTTAATTCTACCCATCTATTTTTATATGTTAAATGTATATATGGATGGATATGTGTTTTACCTTTAATAGTTTTACCTTTTTATAATTTTATGGAGATATGGAAGGCAGGCTGTGTCCCACAGGATTATAAAGAGATATTTCCATAAAAACAAAGGTTTTAGGTGTGTCATTAAATAATCATTGGGGGATATCACTACTATTAATTATAGGCAAAATATATAATAGACTGATTCTAAACAGAATCATTATAATTTTTGTTGACAACATCTATCCTGAATCGCAGTGTGGTTTTCGGTCGGGTCACCATTGACATGATATTTTCTTTGTCAAGTTACAGAGAAGGTTCACAAAAAACCAGGAGTTATATATGGTGTTTGATGGACTTGACAAAGGCCTTTGAATCGAGAGGCTCTTTGAAAAGTTTTTGAGGAAAAATTAGCATTCCTGAAAACATGCTAAAGGTCATCATCTTTTTTCATGAAGGAATGAAAGCTAATATGATGTCTGATGGTATGATGTCAGAATCTTTAATGTCACAAATGGCACCAAGAAAGGTTGTGTCATGGCCCATTTTTTTTTTGCCCTTTTCTTCTCGGTGACATTATAAATACTATTTGCACACACAGAGAATAATGTCAAGGTTCAGTTTCGAACAACTGGTGGTCTTTCAATCAGGAGCACTTCAAAGCCAAGAATTTCAGCATTTCATATTATTCTTTTGATTTCTTGTTTTTGATGATGGTTTTAAACAAAGAAATCGTTTTGAGGAGGCCCAACATCTAATAAATTGTTTCTCTGCTGCATGTAAAGCATTTGGTCTTACACTTAGCATAAAAAAAAACTGAAGTTGAACACCAACCTTGTCCTAACTCCAAACAATTAATGTGTGGTGCGGAAAGAAAAAACACCAGTCTACAAATTTTTGCATTGAACATTGTCAATAAATGACCCATTTTTCAAATTGATCAATAAAATTTACAGAATGGCTTTTGGACCGACATTTTCAATACAATTGGTTTTTAAAATGGAAATTATTTCTATGACCCACTGAAAGCCTTTAATTTTTCCTCATCTCAATTTCCAATTTAATGGTTGAAATTACAAGTTCAGTTATCTATAAGTAACTCGGACAACAGCAAAAATGAACTGGCAAAGTTTGACCTAAATATTGGTAAAAAAAAAAGTGTGTCAAAAGGATGCAAATCTTTTATTTTTTGACACCACATTTTATTTTTATACCATTTTCTAGACAATTTTATTGTTTTAAAAAGCTATTTTAAAAATTGAATAAAACTGAAACACATGAAACTGGATGTTTATGCATTCTCTTTTCATGGGAATTGACAGCAAATGAAACGCTTTATTAGATGCTTTATTTTATTTACTTATTTTTGTTATAAAATAAAATAAGACATATCTCGCTGGTTTGCAGGCAAATAAACTAACATACTTAAGAGCGAGAGTCGGATGAACAGGACAAGGCCCTATCACAAAATGACCATTATTGTAAATTTCACCATAGGCCAGACGCATCGAGTTCCGGTTGAAAAATAAAAATATTTTAAAGTGTTTCTTTTTTTTTAACCAATAAAATGCTTGTTTCCTAATTATACTCATTCATTTTTCAGAGCCTGTTAAACTATAAAAAACATATAAAAGGGTCAAACAGGGAAGTACAACAGCAGTCAACAGGAGGCCAGGGAAGAGACCTGTCCTGTCATGGTCAGCAGTCAGCAGGAGGAGCGCCACGCCAACCAATGTGAACTACTATGAGAGATCAACCCAGACAGGAGCCTTGGCTTATGAACTATAACACAAGGTAGCTGTCCCAAAACCCATTAATCATAATCATATTGAAATAAATCAATTTCTGATGTTGTCATCCAGAATAATATTCTTGCAACCATACGCTTGTCTATAACATTTTTTTTCTTTTAATCATTTCAACCCAAACAAAGGAGTGTTACTAGTACACATGGTTACAGAGAGTGAAAGTGAGAG